CTTGAAACACCATTTTTCTATCAGTTTAAAAACCCCCCCCCCCCCCAAAGTTATTGTAAAAGAAGACCGCCTGGGCAAGTACCCTTCGCAAGGGGACAGGTCCCTTGCATGGTCTCTTGATGCAATGTTATGATAATTAGATCAACCGTTCAGTGAAAGACAGTATCCGGAAGTTGCAAACTGTGATCAATTTGGCCGGGGAATACCCTAAATCAAAACAGGTAGCAATAGTAAAAGAAATATCAGCAAAGAAGATGATGATTCCCCACCGCCAACTTTGAAGCAAGCTTAGAAAGGCAGGCATCCCATTAGAAAAAATTGATGGAAAGCCCACTGGTAAATTATATCGACTTTAGAAAGAGAAGAACCTCAGGGGGAAGGATAAAAACAGCTGTGAGGCCACAGCTGTTACCCCAGCTATGGCCCCGACTGTCCCTACAGCTCCCCCCGCTGAGGAGCTTGATACAGAAACTGGGCTATATCCTGAGTTAAAAAACTTGCTCCTAGATTTAACATAGGCAGGCCCCGGGGAGGAGAGACAAGGGACACCCCCTCCCTTGATCTTGATCAGGCGAGTCCCTGAGGATTCAAGGGGGTATTTGTCTGCTCAAAGTCAGGTTCAAGGGGCCCAGCTAGCTGGGTGGTTCCTCATGGACACAGGAGCTGAAGTCATGATTTTCCAATACAAGCACCCCCCCTCAAGGGGAGGCACCCTGTTGTACTAAAGGAAGTAGGGGAAGGGGCAATCCGGGAAAGAGAAATTGAAGCAGTAGTAAAGCTCAGAAGGTGAGAGGTCTTCACAGTCATGACCACTACTCACCATCCACTATGAATATTGGGAACCACTGTCCTGAGCCATTGTATAATTGGCCCTCACCGGAGGGTGATGGCCTTTGGAAAGGTAGACCCAATGTCAAAGTTTGGGCCTTGGGTTCAATCAAAATGAGGTATGGAAAATACCAGAAAGGAGGTCTGAGTTAAATTGGAGAAGGAAGTAAAACCATATTTTGTGCGCCCTTACCCCGAGGCCTGAGGCTGAAGAGAAAGTAAGAAAGATGCTTCAGAGGCTATTGCAAGCCAGGTTAGTGGAGCCCACTATCTCCCAGTGAAACTCCCCTTTATAGTCCATGCGTAAGGCTAGTAAAAAAACGGAGGATGGTAATAAACTATCAAAAAGTAAATAAGAAAACAAAGAAACTAGGTCCAGTAGTAAGTACTCTGCCCAAAATGTGGGACATGGCCCAAAAAGCAGGTGCCTCCCATTTCACAATAATTAACATTTCAAACTGTTTCTGGGCAATCTGCGTGTGGGAAAATGATTGGGATATTTTTGCTTTTATGTTCAGAGAAAAACAGTACCAGCTGTTGCGCCTACCCCAAGGGTGGTACAACTCG